CACACGGTCCTAATAAAACAGAAGGAGCATTAGTGGGTCATTCATTTGATTTAGGAAGTTATGTTTAAGCTGTTCTTGAGGGGGTTGCACTCCCTTTAAAGGATCAGGCCCCTAGTCTGGAATGTTGATTGATCTAACTTTGTTCATATCAGGTGTCAGAAGAGTTCAGTTGGGTTCTGACTTAAGAACAGAAGAGCCATACTGGATCAAACCAAAAGACTACCTGGTCTAATATTCTGTTCAAACAATAGCCCATGAGAAACCCCCATGAGTACAACAGCATTGTTCTGCCTCCATTCCTCAGCAACTGGTATACGCAGGCATACTGCCTTTACCTCTGAAGTAGCATCTAGCCACCATTACTAGTAACCATTGGTCACCTTAGCCTTCATGACTTTGTCTAACCTCCTTTTGAAGCTATCTGAATTGGTAGCCATCATAACATCTTGTGGTAGTGAATCTCACCATTTATAACCTGTACTGTGTGAAGGCTAGGCATGTATAACAGTTGCATTCCCATCTAAGCAGAACAAATTTGACCTCAAAAACTCATTTCCTGATAACTTCCAGATTACTACAAATATATGTAGGACCACCTTCTAAGATTTCTCAGAAGCTTTAGTTAAAAAGTTACTCTAGTAAGACTGGTGGTGACCAATTAAAAAGACTTTTCACTGCTCTGTTCAAGGGAAGCTTGCCTAGTTCCCACTTTTATGTTTGAATTAATACACTTTCTGCAGTTGTACTAGAAACTTAGAATTTAGAAGAGAAGCATGTGGATATTTTCTTTAAACAAAGAAGTGCAGAGCCCCCTCTTTTCAGAACATTGCAGTTTGTATATTAAAATACATCCATTTATTTGTTATACTTGACATCTCCCCCAATAACTTTATTGGAAAAAAGTAAGACCCCATCAACCATTTCATCTATCATTAGCATCGTACTAACAGTGCCATGTTTCCAGAAGTGCAAACCAGTGAAGATCTTAAAAGAATGAATTCAAAAATGAGTCACCAATCCAAAGTCTCTCATACAGTCTAATTTTAGCCGGAGCAGTGCAGCCTAGTAAAACTGTGTGTGGGGAAGGAACAATAGTACTTGAACTGATGAAATTTCTTCTAAAGGAAATCATACTATGAAGTATATGTAAAACAGCCTAGAGAGAAAGAGTGGGAGACTGCCAAACAACTCAAAATCTATGTATTCCTTCACACCCTGCCTCTTCTCACTTCCTGTAATGATCAGTGTCTTCTCAATATACAGTGCAAAACATTTTCATGGATTCCCAGTTCGTTCCTCACAGGGAATGTGGAAAATAAATGTTAGGACTTTGTGTTCAACTGGGCAGTTTTGTGCCATAGGGCAACTTCACATGTGGCAGTTGTACAGCATCTGGAAGTGTATGTCCCATCCTCCACACCATATGGAGGCACCAGTTCACTCCAAAGGGAACCTCCGCATAACCACTGTTTGGTTGGAACATGAAGATTTCACATCTGTGAGATGTTTGAATGCATGAAATGAACATGGAGGGTATGGGAAACACATGAAAAGCAAATAGTTGTATGGAAAATGTATATGACAGATGTCTTTGGCTAGCTTTGATAGGAAAGGTACTAGTGGATAAACTGTGTTTTTTATTAGAAGATTTCTACCTTTTTGTAACGTATCACAGAGATGGACAGAAAGTAGATCTTTAGATGTTTTGGACTTAAGCACCCTGCATTCATGGCCACTGGCCATTCTGGCAGGGCTTCTGGGCTAAGTTTACATGATCAAAATAAACCACGATGGCTCATTTTAGTCACTCTGGCTTATTTTGATCATGTGAATCAAGTCAGTTATTTAAGCCATGGTAGCCTGCTCAGATCATGGCAGACTCCGTGTGTGATGTCTGTTATCACTGCCAAACTTTGCTCTGATTTTGTGTTGGGCATAATGGCTTGCTGGAGGGAGAAACAACTTTTCAATAATGTTGCCATTTCTATTGCATTTTGTGCTACGATGAAAACACCGCTTGGGAGTTGTCAAGGCCAGTGGCTCCTTCAGCAGAATAGTTGATGTTCTACCAATGTATGAGGAGCCAGCTTAGCTCAGTGGAGCAACACATACATATATAAAGAAGGTGCCAGGTTCATTCAGTCTCCTGTTGTCTTCAGTTAAAATGATCAGATGGCAGTTGATGTGGAAGAATTTTGCCCAGAGATCTGTTTCCATCAGAGTGCATTACTGGGCTAGACAGACGGACATTCTGCCCTAGATAAGAAACTTCCTATATTTTTACCTTTTAGAGTCTTTTCCATTATAGTTTTGGGCACTTAATGTGCATACAGTATTTTTGCTTGCTCATTGTTTACTTTTAAACTTGCGGAGCAGTAGGTTGTTACATGTCTCTTCTTAACTATAGCAGAAGGTGTTAGTAGTGATCCTACTTCTTGTTTGTATCCTTACTTTAGATATTGTTCAATATTGTAAAGATGAATGTTCTTATGTTTTCTTTTTATGTGATGTAGCTTGGACCATAGTCATATAAACTGCTTTCTGAAAATGTCATGAGTCAGTGTGGTCTAGTGATTTGAGGAGTGGAACTGGGCTAGGGAAATCAGAGTTTGTTTTCTACTCATTTGCTTGAATGAATCACTGGCAGTTCTGGGGATCGAATGAGAGGACCTCTGCCACATTACATGAATCTCCATGTACAGCAGTAAAGCACATGTACAGGGCCAGTGCTTCACTCTGGCATCTCCAGGTATGATTGGAAAACACCTACCCAAAACCCAGGGGACTTTCTGCCAGTCAGTGTGCTGGTTTGCCTATTACAACAGCCCATGATTACACAATGCACAGGCAGTTTTATGTGAGGGGGGGATAGATCACTACTGGTAGTATACTAGCTGCTTTCACATTTATATATATTTATTTTCAAATTTATATGCTGCTCAATAGTGCAATAGGACTCTCTGTGAGGCTAACAATATACAGCAAACAGCACAAGTACAAGGGGAAGAGGGGAGGAGATCTGTTGGAGTGAGCACTTATAATCAGGTTTTAAATTGAGGTTTTGAGAAATCTGTGAAAGAGGATGCTTTTTCCTGGCACCAAAATGGAAGTAGAGATGGCACCAGGTGTACCTAGTGAGGGAGCCCATTCCAAAGTTTGGGGGCAGCCCTTCTTCTAAATTGATTAATTTGGAAGCCCTTCTTCTTTTACCTCTTTTAGGGATGGCTCTCTCAGAAGGACCTCATTTCCAGATCTCAGTGGGTGGGTAGGAGTACATGAGAAGAGGTGGTCCTTCAGGTAACCAGGTCCCAAGCCGTTTAGGCCTTTGTATGTTAAAACAAGCACTTTAAATTGAGCCCAGGCTTCAACTGGCAACCAATGTAATTTGTAGAGAATAGGTGTTATGTGGGCACACAAACTGACACCTGACATCAGATACACAGCCCTATTTTGGACCTCTTGAACACTCTGGGCCACCTTTAAAGGTCGCCCTATGTAGAGCACATTACATTAATTTATTCAGTTAAAACTTGTAATTTTAATCAGCACCCTACAGTTCATAGGATGTTCAGCATGACGTTTGCTGGTTTGTTTTGGGGGGTTGAACAACCTAGCAATTAATTCATGGCTTGTTTTACTCCAGATTTGCATTATCATGTTTAATAATCTACAAACAGGCCAATTGTAGGTTACTGAGTAAAAGCAGAAGTGGCATGTGTGCAGGAGGCTGTTTTTGCTTACTTCCTTTTGTCTCTAATAGACCGTGAGCTGCTTAACCGATGGGCTGTTATTGTGTCAGTGTTGACAATCCTGCGCTAGATGGACCAATTGTCTGATCCAGTATAAAGCAGCTTTTTCTGTTCTTAAGATATATTGGGTTGGATCAAGATCCACCTTCTGCTCACAAAAAGTAGTTCTGCCTCAATTTTAGGAATCTGTCGACTTGCTTCCCCACACCTTGACTGTGACTGGGTGTTCTGACTTCCTGACTTGGTTTGAATGACATAGCAACCCACCATGTTTTCTTTAAATCATAGTTGGGCTATCATGTGAAATGAACTGGAGCCACTTCACTTAGGTTTATTTTTGCAAACCCGGTAGTACCCTTGGGCAGTTCTAGGGTTGTTGTTACCCGTGATGGATTGTTGTGTCATACCCACCCTGGCTGAAGTGTAACAGCCAGTGAGCCCCTTGGCAAGAGACTTTGCCACTCTGATCAACTGTTGGGTAACTGCCATTGCTAGCCACCCCCAAAGTGTGCAGTTGGCACTTGGAAGAAGGCTGGCAGAGGCCGTGTCCCTCTGACCCCAGTCGCTTACCAATTTTGACTGGTGATTGCAGTTTGTCTTTTTGGAGACAATGGAGGCTGGCTGAAGAGACTGCCGTCATGATCTCCTTAGGGAAGAGTTCTGATCTCCCCCTTCAAAGTGCTCTGCGGCACCTCGTGGGGGAAATCTGTAGTTACACAGTATTTTTTACTTAGATTATTTTTACATCAGCTTGCACTGGTTTTAATTTACTAACTTGAGTTTATTGTTGTTTATTTATATGCTATTTTATCTAGTTCATTTCTAATTGCATGATTTCATTTATGTTACTTATTGGTAATTTTATTTTAATGGCTGCCAGGGAGCACGATGCTAATGGGTGGCCTTTAAACAAATTTAAACAAACAAATTTTCAGGAACTGAGAGGTGGTGATGGGAAAGTCTGCTTCTGCTGGCATGACTAAATCTAGATATAATCCATCATTTGTGGATGTGATAAATATTGTCAGAACTGCCTCACTATATCTAGCTGACAGACTTCTTTGTTGTTGAAAATTGGATATTAAAATAAATTAAAGAGCAATTTACAAAGGGTCAAACTGATATAGACACTGAAATTAAGTACTTCTGATGCAGAACTCTTGACTTTATATGTCATATCTCAACAGCATTCTAATTCTTTCAGTAAACTTGTGACTTGCATCTAAACATGGAAATGGTGTTCTCTTACAGAAGAACAGACGCTCAGACATGTAGAAAAGGATGTTTTGATTCCGAAACTCATGAGAGAGAAGGCCAAAGAGCTATGTTCTGATAAAGTGCAAGGTGAGAGTGAAATTCCACAAAATAGCAAATCTAATCTTTTATGTGACCTGAATGTTATCTTTTGCCAGGCAGCGATAGAAGTAACAAATGTATGTGCATGATCTGTATTTCTTCCATTTATTTTCAGCTCTGTGCGATATCTTGTGGTTTAAATAAATTGGGTTTAAATAATTTTCAAATCTACATTTCATATAACATGGATGCTCCACTGAAGAATGCCATATTCATTCAGTGCTTTTGTTTGGAAAAGATGGTCCGTAATTATGATTGCTGTATAACTCTGTTAGAGGTCAGTAAATGAAGCCCAACGTTCATTCTGATAATTTTTATAGCTGCAATTGAACCAAGGGATTGACTTAGCTGAAAAAATACCCTTGTTCATGCACAGGTTGAAGATATTACTCCCAAATATTCTTTCTTGCTTGTCAGGAAACCTGGGTGTCTGTGCAGTTATTTGCAAAGGATAATAATAGGTTCAGGAAACTGTGGCCTTCCAGATGTTGTTGGAGCCCAACACCATCATTCTTAACCATTAGTCTTGGGATTTGGTGTCCAGCAGAGTTTGGAGAAAATAGTTTTCCTATGTCTGGCATAGGGCATATCCTTGTTCTTTCAGAGTCACCTTTATGGAAGTCTTTTCATTCATAGAGTACTTCCTGCAAGATAACTTTGGATGCCGCCATATACAATGACCCACCTATAATCACTAATCCTTTGTTCCCTATTCCAACAAACACATAATGGTCAGATGCCTTAGGAAACGAATGCTGATTAGCATTAGCTAGTAGTATATAGTCCCATATTCAGTGGAAGTCATGAAAACATGATGATGATTGCATTTATATCCCACCTTTTTTCCTGAGAGGAACCCAAGGCAATTTACATAGCCTCCTTTAATCTTCATAACAGCCCTGTGAAGTAGGCTAGGTTGAGAGACTATGACTGTCCCAAAGTCGCCCAGGGAGCTGCATGGCTCATGGATCTGCTAGAATGCAGATCTCCTGTGTCCCACTGATGCACCCTAAGCACTATGCTATGCTGGTGCTTCATTACATTAGCCTGGAATGTCAGCCTGTGAAAGTTCCTCATTTGCATGTGTTAATAATCCTCAGAGTGGAGGTGGGGGAGTTTTCAGAGGCAGCCAGGAACATAAATCTTCTTGCAGAATGCACGCTGGAATCCCATTGAGGGCAGGGGCCTGTTTATTTTTTGTCCAGTTTTATTGTGTAAGAAACACTGCACACTGGTAGCCCTGCATAAAAAATAAGAATCACCTATAGGAAACTAAAATAAAAATGTTTGTGTTCTTCTTGCCCTTAAATTATCACTTAAGAGTTCACCAGGCTCTGGGTTGCTTCTGGATGCTTGTGTACATTTGCTCTTTTGTGTTCTAAACCCTTAGGACAAGTTGAACTATAAAATAATGAAAATTAAATTTGATTTATAATAGTGCATGGAAAAAGAACATTGAAGAAAATGGCATAAGGCTCTCACCTCTGCATTCAGCTAAACTGCCAATGTGTGGAGCAACTCCCCATATGTTTTGGAATTACAGGGGAAAGAGGTGTGATGTTGTGAAAATTGCAAAATAACCTAAGTCCTGTGAACAGGAGAAATAGAAATAGAAATAGAGAGGCTGAAAGCATTCACTCAGGGGAAGTAGGTCAGATAGCTGGGGGTAGTTCCTGTACTGCCAGGCGCTATAGCTGTTAACTTGGGTATGCAAATCAATGTAAAGGAACAACATGAAGAATTTGAGATGTTAAAATCCATTTAAAGATGATTTTCTCATTAAATTATTTGACACTTTAAGAACTTCAGAAAATGATTTACTAAAGAAACAAAGAGCTTATTCCTGTAATGTGTTCTCTCCATTTTGGATATTGATAAAAATACAATGATTGATAATAGTTCCTTGTTGGACTTGATTAGAAGAAAATGCATTTTACAGGCAGGTATTCTGTGTAATGAAAAGCCAAACAAACAAACCACTTGCAGATCTATTGAACTTTCAGACTTCTTTATTTTATTTCTATACCGTCCTCTGGCCAAAGTTCTCTGGGTGGTTTACAACTTTTACTTCTTTCTTTCTTGGCTTAACATCTATTTCTTTTGAAGAATATCTGTACAAATTACAATTGTGTTCTATTTTACATGCATAATAATGTCACCAAGTTAGATGCATAAAAACAACTGAACATAGACTCTATGCAGTTCATACAAGGATAGCTATAAAAATATGAAATGAATACTCTTGAGTCCTAAACCTTTACTTGCCCGACCTGGAAGTATTGTTGTATGTGCAAGAAATTTTCCAGGTACTTGCTAATAGTAATTCTGGAGCACTATTACCATCTCATTAAAACACAGAAAATACATAGGTTTGAAGTAAAGCTTGGAACACTGCTCAGAGTTCCTTTGCAAGAAGGCAAGATAGAAGCATATCAAATTACATTGTAAAGCCGCTGTCCCATCTCCAAAAGGAAAAAATTGGAAAGGGTCCAGAGGAGGATTGGGTGAGAGGAGATGAAATACACTCAGCATCTTAAGAACCAAGCTTTCTGTGTGGCAAGTTGCTGCCAAATGTTGCATTAGCCAACAGGGTCTCCTTCCAATGAACAGCTTCACAGGTGACCAATACTGAAGCAGAGTTCTGGTCAATTGTTCTCAAAGGGTAGGTGTGGGAGGCAATTGTCCTTTTGGTTACTGCTATTCCAGACAAACTATCAAAGCTAGCATCATGCCAATGCACTTAAACAGCAACAGTAGCTCTAAACAATAGCCTCCCCTAACCTGGTGTCCTCCAGATGTTTTGAACCACAACTGCATCAGGCTCAGCTATTGTTGCCAGTGGTCAGGAATGCTGGGAATCATAGTCTAAAACACCTGTGGGACACCACATTGGGGAAAGCAATGTGAGATCCCAGCTATTGTATGTTTCATGGCAAAAATCAATCTTGATTTCATGTGATGAGACATTTCTCAAATGTATGTTTTGTGCGCGCGCGCGCGCTCGCTCTCTCTCTCTCTCTTGTGCGTGTGCGTGGCCCCTTCCCCCTGCCAAGATTTTGGTCCTACAATAAAAAAGTTGTGTTCTTATTCCCAACTGCATTGAAATCTGTTAAGAAAGCTATGGAATATTGAACACAGGTGTTCATATAATTGTGATACATTGTTAAATCAGCAGTGTTCAAGTTTACACTTCCACATATGTGTTGTGATCATGTTGTCTAGGTGTGAATAAAACACAAACAAGCAGAAATCTCATTCTGTATATTTTTTTTAATCTAGTTGCTCTGAGGCAAAGTGGCTATTCGTTTTCTTAATGGCAGTAAGCAAACTTGGTATTGAGTTGCAAACAGTAGTGCATTGAATCAATATTGTTTATAGAGTCTGTCTTAAATTTACACTTACATTCAGGTATATTTAATTTGTACATTAATTCATCCTTGAGAGTTTGTTATTACCTAGAAAAGATCAGTGACAAGGAATGCTCATAATCTAGTTAATGAGAAGTGTCATGTTTTCTCACAGATGCTGATCTAGTCATTGTTAATCATTATAAGATAGAGCCTAGACTACTGAAACAAACTTTATGTACTTGGTGACTGTTTGGAGGATTTAGCTGCTGTAAAATCTGTGGATCACCTTCAGAACAGTGGAGAACACTGGAAGCATATTGCAGAAGCTCCTATTAACCTTCAGCTCCTTCAATAGAGGGTGCTCATGTGGAGTCCAAAATGGGCTGGCCTCTGTGTTGTGCCATGATATTTAAGCTCAACTAGAAGTGTTGTCTTGAGTAAACTATTGATCTACCAAGATGGGTCTGCAAGTGTGAGAGGAGAGGTAGTCTTGGTGGCTTCCGTATAAATTCAGAGTTCCCTTCCCCTAGATAGTATTGTGAAAGATGGAGCCTGCAAGTCACCCAGAAGCAGTTTTAGCACAATTTTGCTCAGACTGGGTCTTTGATGGCCAGAGATTTATTTATTTATTTTTATTCATTAAAACATTTTTATGCCGCCCCATTCGCCGAAGCCTCGGGGCGGCTTACAACGTTAAGTTAAAAAATAATTATAACAATAAATTAAAAATTACAAACATTAAGTTAAAATGCAAAAATAACAATATAAAATTGTTGGTAGAATCACCAGTAGAGCTGGTTTTGCCCAGAATAAATAACTGTACTTTTCTGAGCATAGGATATTTTGATTGCAAAATAAAGTAACTGAGGAGAGAGAACAAATTAAAGTAGATACCCAATTAAGTGAAGATACCATGGAGACCTAAAAGATACAAACAGTTAACCTTGAAATAAGTTTTTGAAGTCCTAGAACAGTGGAAGATAATTCTGTAAGCCAAAAATCTTCAGGTGAGATTGGGGATGCTGTGAATGTTGGATTAGTCACAAAGCCCCCCAAAACATAAATTACTTTCTGCTTGCGATTTAGATCTTGTACACAAGGATTTGATAAAGCAAGTTGTTGGAGAATGGGGATTCAGAAGGAAGAATATTCTTCCATTTGTATTACATCTTCATTGATCAAATGGATGCAGTTTGAATATTCTGAATGTAATTACTTTTATTGAAGTGCATAATTGTAATGGTTATAGATAAATATGTACGGCTGAATAGCTCAGTACAATTATAAATACTTGGCAGAACTGTAAAGCTAGAATTAGGGAAGTGTTCTGGGAAAGGCCATTTCCAAATGCCACCATTCTTCCTCTTCCCCAGGGACTACATTGATACTTAGTAAAGATGATGGGATGAAACACCACTGCAGGCTTCCCTATAGTAGAGTAAGGCCAGTGTCAACCATAGTTTCAGTAATAGACACTTAATCAACAGTCCTGCATCTGGCATCTTACCTGTCCCTCTAGGGACCACCTGCTCCAGAACTTGACCCTTGCACCTGACATATCAAGATATGCGGAAGGAAGGTAATCCTGAAGCTTGGACAAATGTTGGCATGGCCTATTTATATGCCCAAGGACACCTG